GTATTTCCCTGTTTTTCGCAAAAACCTTTCAATAACTTGGAGCTGTGCCACAATTGTATGATTTCCTGAATTGTAAATCCATCCCTGTCCCTACCTGGAATTTTATTTATTTTTGTCTTTGAGTGCTTTGAATGGATTCCAGTACTTTAAACAAAAAAGATGGGATTGTTTGTCTTTATCGTTTTAAAGTAAAATGGTAATGTCAATTTTTTTAAATTCTTCAACTTAGAATTACTTTTTGTTTTTTGTTTCCCTATCGAGGATGAAGACTAAAGTAAATCATATTTATAACATTAGACTATAATAATGATAATTATTAGGAGTAAGTTACTTTAAATAATTAGAAACTTTGTAATTCTTCTTTTCAAATGATTCTATTGAATCCCTGTCTGTATTGGTACTAATTTATAATTCTTAAGAACATTCTGTAGAAACATTTTGAATAACTACTCTGTAACTCAAATTGAATTAGAGTACTTGTACATTAAATTTTAGTAAATGAGTACTAATTGTTTGTTGTTGTTGTCGTTTTAAGTAAAACTGTATTTTTTACTTATTTATTCATAATTATCAAAGTAAAAAATTGAGTGTCAGTAAACTTTAGGAATAATTGAATTGTGAGGAGAAGTATCTTGTTGTTGCAATCTTTTACATTTGTTATTAATTATGATTAGTAAGATTTTTATTTAAAATGCAAATGAAAATTACTGTATTAATTTTTTTGGAAGGTAAAAGTGGGATGAGGGAATCGGTAAAGGTAAGTTGGTAATTTTTTTTTTTTTTTTTTTTTTTTTTAATTCATTTGCAATTTAAAAAAAGAATCTGTAACTGTACAAACATATATTTGTATTTTCATATGCAAATTAATATTGCCTTTTATTTTTATTTTTTATATTTAAATTAATAACATAAGTTTAATTTGTTTTCGGTCAGATACATACATACTGTGAATATTTCTCTGATATAATTTTTACTCGAGACAATTACTTACGTTTATTTAAACAAAATAATAATATTATTAAAAATTTTTCCTTATTCAA